TATGAGCTAATCATGCCTTTTGCCCTTGCACTCTTTGAAACTATGAGCTCAAGATGCTAACGGCCTGGAAACATCACACCCTGACTGCCCAGTCCTGGTCTTTGATTGTTGACAACTTAAAACAATAGTGATTAAAAATATATATGTACAGAAAAACAATACGTTCATTACTACATGCAAGGCTTAAATGAGATACATTTGCCTTTGCCTCCCTCCAAAAATGATCTTGGTTGCACATCTCTTTCACATTTATGAAAAATCTTCTGAGATGACTGACAACAGAGGTAACTGACATACAATGTGAATCTTCCCACTGTTATCCATTCCAAGACGTGCAGCTGAATAAAATTCCGCTCAGTCAGACATAAAATCAAATTAGAGGAGTTCATTCTGAAGAGAAAGAACTAAATTTGAAACAAATAAAGCAGTGCATAATTCACTTTTAATGGATAAGTTCCCAAAACCACACTAATCATAATCCTAACAAGGTAATACATGACATTGCAAGTTTACCATGTCACTGTTCAGTATGCAAGAGAGCAGCAGAGCTTCAGGGATTTGCCCCACATCCAAAGTGAGCAAGTTGGGTTTTTTTTTGCAGTCATCAGAGCTCTTCTGTTTATTAATAATTATACCTTATGACCATACAACATATTTTGTTTGTACCACATGTGTTCACAAAGACCTCCACCCACCATTGAAATCCCTTGGTTAACACACAACATATTTCTCCACAAAGCCTTGCAATATTACTCAACAGTTTAGAAAAGAACAAAAAATGCTGTATCTTTTAACTGTACAAATTCAGAAGGAAGGTAATGACTCAAAGGTGGAAGCTGGCTAACCCTGAAGTAACATTTTCTGTGTTTGGCAAAAATGACATTGGATTTTTATTGACTGTAAGTATTCAAGACCTTGGTTTTGGATCTGATTTTTAAGACAGCATTTTTCATCAGCACAGCAGCTCACAACTGTGAGAATGCCTGAGTTAAAGGAGAAAGTATGACTGCCTGCTTTGCAGCTACCCTTCAAAGTCTCAGGATGTCCACACTTATTTGGTGTATGAGAGCTGATAGGTTATACCCAAGATGCTGTGGCTACAGGGCACAAATAAATCAGAAACAAGAAAAGAGTTTAATAATTTCTATAACATGGGACAACTTTCTACACCTTTATTAAAGTGTTCAACTCCGAAAAGTCAGTCTACAAAACCCAACATTCATCATATTGCATATTCAATACCTCTCAGTAAACACCTGATACAAAAAATGTGCCCTGCTGACAGGTTAAGAGATATTTTTGTATGGGATTTGAGAGTCAAGCTGAGTTCTTCCTGTACTGTCAGCAATCAAAATTTTCTGACTGAAACGTAGTAAATCATTCTTTTAATCACATAGCATGGATTGTAGCATGCTTTTACAGCTGTATCATTTTCAAAGAACTAACAGGTCAGACATAGTGAAAAAGCTAATAAAAAAGGATATGATCAAATACACATCAGCAGCAGGTAAAGTAAGCAGATGCTTTTCTACATGAATCTATATACTATGGTTCTTACTTAGTAAAAATTTCCATTTATATATCCAGCTCATCCTGAAACATTGTTCCCTGCACAAACCATCTTTTATTTAAAACACCATTTACAAAAAAAAATAAATTAATATTAAGAGTCAGAAGACAGAACTACAGTGCATACAATACAAATGGAATTATTTTTTCCTTATATAAACATTATGGCTCTGCATGAGGATGCAGCAAGGTGAATACCCTACAAAAACAAACTGCAGCTTGCTGACACTGGGCTCAACCTTTTCCAGATGTGGAATTTCTAAATTCCAAAGGTGTTTTTAATACTCAATATTCAATCCACATAGTTCTTTGCACTCCATTTTATTACTACACTTTGATGTGAGGGAATTTAAGTTACATAATACGCACTCACAGAAATTATAGACACAGACACTCACAAGCCTCACCTTCAACAAATATCCTATTTGGCAGTATGATGGCCACACACACAAGAACAGTTATGTATGGCAAGCAAGAGATTAAGATCATTTTAAAGTAGACACGTGCAATGGCGATGCCCTTGTCACAGGGCAAGACGTGAATGAAGACAGCTGGGAGTGAGGAGGTGTGACTTACACAAGCAAACACAACACAGGGAAAGCAGTGGTTCTCTGACCTAGTAAGTTTGTATCCCCCAGCTCCTGCTCATCCGTCCTCAGAGTCTCTGACTGAATACAGGGGATTTACACCAACTAGGCACAGGCCAAGTCATCAGCAATTCCCCCACTCCTGCAAATAAGCAGAGACTGAACTGAACTGAGCTGACTTCCAGGAAGGACACATAAAAAACCACATCATGTTGAATGCCTTTAAGCATGAGGGAATTTATCAGGAGTTTAAAAAAGAAGGACAAAAAAAAAAAAGGAATGGGTCAGACCTTATGGGAGAGCAGTGCCTTTTACACTGGCTGTTATTTTGACCAGACAGCAAACTCACTAAGCCAGACGAATTATATTGAGTGAATAAAAATTAAAAAATCCAGAAGTGGGAGATAAATCGCTGCAGTTTCCCATAATTCTAAATTTCAGTCAGGATCAAACCCTCCACTCTCTATTGAATAAGGATACACTGCCCATAAGGGGGTTTGGTGAAGCAAACTTCCTGGTGCATACAGTTCAGCTCCCTCCAGAAAATTAACGTTACTGCTACCCATTCGTTTCCTTCTGCTGCAGGTGTTCCTCAGGCTTGCTCTTCCACCAGAAGAGTTTGGAACATGATAGCATCAGTTTCATAAGTTATTAGCAAGCATTTTGCTTTAGTGAGTATCAGAATATCTCTTTACAAAGCAGGTATTATCATCATACCAAGGAAAAACAGTCCAAAGGATAGTAAAATTACCTGTACAAGATTATGCAGACACTCGAGCAGAAGCAGCTCAGCTAGTACCCTTAACTTGCAAGCCCTACACCAATGACCTACCCAGTAGGACATACAGCCCTTTGAGGAAATGAGCTGGGGGATGTCCTCCAACTCTGGTTACCTCCCTTGACCCACACTCTGCTATGAAAAAGCCCTATTTCAGTCATTGTGGAGGGCTCAAAAACACTGTGGCAAAACAGAAAAAGAGCTCAGAAACATTGATGGTAATGGCCAGAACAGACTGTGGAGCACAGTATTTTTGGCCTTTTCTTTACTGTCTGTCTCTCAGGGAGACCTTCATTTCAGCATTGTTGCACAGGAAATTGGTGCCTGAACTAAGGACACAAAGGATCTCATTAACAATTCTAGATATAATAATTAAAATTTATATAGCCAAATTCTGACTTAAATCTAGGAAAATAATAGCAAAATGCAGAGTTGCCATAGAAGTACTGCTGCATAGACAGAAAGATTATGTCAATGGCCAGTATAGTAACGCAGGCTCAAATACCTATTATTTCAAAGATTTTCTTGGGCAGGCAACTTAATACCTCTATATCTCAGTTATTCACTCCTAAAAAAGGATAATAGCTAAATGGGAGCACACTAAGGATAAAGCAAGATATGCAACAGAGACTATGTAAAAATCTAACAGAATTGGGTTTGTGCATGGGTAGAGCACAGTAAATTTGAAGCAATTTTGGGGACTTTATCAACACTTACAAATATCTAAAGGGTGGGTGTGAAGAGGATGGGGCCAGGCTCTTCTCAGTGGTGCCCAGTGACAGGACAAGGGGCAACGGGCACAAACTGGAGCACAGGAAGTTCTGCCTCAACGTGAGAAAAAACTTCTTTACATTAAGGGTGACAGAGCACTGGAACAGGCTGCCCAGGGAGGCTGTGGAGTCTCCTCCTCTGGAGATATTCAAAACTCGTCTGGATACAGTCCTGTGTGACCTGCAGTAGGGGAATCTGCTTTGGCAGGGGGGTAGGACTAGATGATCTCCAGAGGTCCCTTCCAACCCCTACCGTTCTGTGATTCTCTGATTTTTGCTACATTGTGTTTAAGGTAACAAACTATTTCACTGACAGCATTTCAGTGCTATGCAACAAAGATTACCTTTTTCCAAGCAAAGGCATAATACACCATACATTACCTTCAAATGAAATTGCAGATCTATTTTTTCCTACAAAACAATAAAGAGAGACAAACTCTACCTTGATAACATCCACTGAGCTTCTTTTCAAGACAGAATGAGATTCAGGTCACATTCTACTCTCCATTGAGCCATACCCAACATAGGCAACAAGACTATTAGAGTATTTAAGACCAAGATGTTAAAATCATTCCTAGAGCTGCAAACTGTAACTATCCCTACAGTCACCAGACAGGGAGAGACAAATTTTCCAGTTTCACAGCTACAGCTGAAGCCCTGAGACAGTTCTTTTTTCTTGTATTTGATAGAAATGTTTGCACTACAGGAATATAGTCTCTCCTTGATTCTATGCCATAAATCTTATTGGTATCACTGGGGTTAAGGGAGATCTGATACAGTTAAAAAAAAAAAAAAAAAAAAAAGAGGATCACAATAATTATTTTTTGGCAAAGTTCAGCACAAAGACCTTGAAGTCAAACATGACCCAGACAGCAACGTGTCTAAATCACACAAACTCTGTAGGATTCCTTCTGCCAAAAGCCAAGCTAAGCACAAATGAAATCAAACAAGGATTTTCCTTCATGTCCTGGTCATAAAGGACAAGAAAGCCTTTCCAAAAGTCCAACACTGAGTTGAAGACTAATCTATGACATGAATAAATTAAAGCAAACCTTTAATTTTATTTTCCAGCATTGTCCAGGTGTCAATAACCAGAATATAAAAATCAACTAATCAGATGCTATTTGTTCTCTTTCAGTGAGTTAGTGCTGCCATCTAAAGCTATCTAAGGGGCATGCAAAAGCAGTTCAAAGTCATGCATCTAGATAACATTCAGGAAGCACATTTGAGTAGACACAGATGCAGGGGAAGTCAAATATGTTAATAAGATACAACAAAATAATGATGCTGCAGTACCTGAAGGAGCAATTCTTTCTGTGTCACTTCATGTGTCTTGCTGATAAGCCGCTTCTGTAGTCTCTGTACTTTCTGAATCAGCTCATAGGTACCTGGGTCACTGGCCTAGACAAGAGCAAAGCAGTCTCAAAAATTGCGCATTATAACAAGCTGCTGTTTCTTGCTTGCAAACAAAAGCCATAATATATGTGTTCAAAGTACTAAAGCAGGGGGGGAGTGTTGGCGGGTTTTTTTAAATGGCATGTATACAAGCAGTCCTGAAACTGGAATCCCTGCCTCTTGAAGATCATTTGGAGCATGCTCATGTTTAACACTATTACCTTCATGAATCATCCTCAAAACAACTGATATAAATAGGAGTCCCTCAGAACTTAACCCCCAAACCTACAAAGATTGTTAGAACCCCATTGCAGGGAAGCAAAAGGGGGTTAGTATATAATTTTTAGCAGAAACTGGAACTGCCCACTGACAAATGAAGAGCAGTGCAAGTACTTCCTACTGTTTTAAGAACTTCAAACAGTGCCAATTGAGTTTTAAGGAGAGGAAGACGTTTCTCTTGTAACTGCAGTATAGTCTTGAAACAGGTTGAGAAGTTAAGAAGAACAAATTATGGGGGTACACTGATGAATTATTACGAAGCTTTAAAGTGTCCATATGTGTGGAATCTCATTCTTCAATGGAATTAAGTGCTTAAAAAGGTGACAGAGTGTGGGCACTATACCGCTGCCCTCTATCTACATAGCCTGTAAAGACCAGGAGCTAGTCAATCTCTTTCTCTCTCCCTCTTCCCTTTTCATTCTTTTGTCACAGATTGCATCTGGAGGAAGGTCTAAGGAGCAAACAAATAATTCTGTAGGAGCAGCCAGCAAAGCTTATTTTCCCACCACTTTGTATCTTCTCATTGGATCCTTTAATGAAGAGTAAACTCTGACTGAAGCTTTTCCCCACTCAGGGATTCACAACACCTCTCTCCCACATCATTTATCCTCTCTCATGTGGTGTCTCATAAGGATTAAACTCACTCTGCAGTAAAGGCTCTAATAAAGTCCTACTCTCTGTGTATGTGCTTGAGCTTATAAGGAACTTTGTATCTCAGGGCTCTTAATCTTTCTGCTGATTTTATCTAAATTGACTAATCAAGTGTAACTGGGACACTAACACAGACACAGCATGCAGCATTCACAACACAACATTATTTCCTGAGAAACCAGGCTAAAAAGTAGTTCAGTCCCCATGACCCATTCAGTCCTTGATTTTTTTGTAATGCTGCCCAAACATGCTGTCAATTTGTGACACCTGTAGCGATATGAGAGTGTTCATTAGGAATTGAACCAAAGCCCCATCAGGCTTATTTCATATGAATCTTGCCATCTGCTGGCCTTTCTGTGTTCCAAACACAAACCAGTAACCTAGAATGTAAAGACTCATTTCCAATTATCAGTCTCTTCATATACTAATTTCCCCAACACTGGATGTTTTGACTGGCCTGATTTTCTTTTGTTAGAAGGTGCTGCTGGAGATTGTACCTAGACATCTTTAATCTAGTTCAGCATCCTGCATTTTATCTCCCTTCCATGAGAAAAGCTAAGCACACCATTCAGCTTTAAGCTTAGCATGGAAAGATCAGAAATTAACTATCATGCTAGAGAACACAGCTAAAATATTCAGCTCTGCTTCTGTAGGGACTAGCATGTTACCACTCCTTATTAGAGCAGCTAAGCAACCCAGGCTGGCATCAGATCAGACATCCACGCAACAGAGAAATCTCAGCTGGCTCTGACTTACTTCGAAAGTAAGCCAACTTACTTCCAGTGAGCAAATTGATGTTCATAGATTTGGTCTGTGCTTGACAGATATTTTTACTTTTCCCCTTCATTTAGCAGGTTCAAATAGTGTGAAAATTTAGATTTGCTGTTTACATAACAGTTGAACTCACACTACCTGGAATGACTATCTTTGGGAGCCCACCACTGTTTATGTGGAGGCCTCTTCCTTTTCTCACAGATGTAATTTACCTTCTAACTTTAGGTCTGTCCATTCCCCAGTCTACCTGTTCTATGATCCTCTCTGATTCCAGTTTACTTCCCATATACATCTCTGTGATTGGTGACAGTAGGGTTGTATCTTTCCCCTGTGATCCTCATCATCCATGTTAAGGAATCACCCCCTTCTAAATTCACCTTAGGCATTCTTATTCCCTTTAGCATTTGACCGGCTCTTTACAAATCCCTCTGCAATTTTTCATTGAGAAAGTGACACAAAAATAACACTGATTGCATTGTTCAAGGAAACCATTCAGCAGTTAACCATTCCACTGGTACTATGGAAATTTCAGTCCGCCTGCCCCTCCACATAATTTGCATAACAGTAAAGGAAATAGGCTTTGTGCTGTGTAACTGATTTGGTACTACAGGCTTTGGGAACTTGAAATGCTGACACATCACCTCTAATTTTCTCCATCTGTGAACATTCAAGGGATTCTCCAGTTCTTCTTCCAAAACTTTGCACCGAGTCTGTTCCTTTAATAGCTCCTTCTGCATGTGATGAACCTTCTGTCTTTAGACCAACATAAACAAACAACAAAAAACCCACATCAAAACCACATCAATGTGACCAAGGCACTAATACAGACATTAACAAATCATTCTCCCACGCACTACAGCACTGGCAAAGTGACTCTTGTGATTAATAGTCAACGCTGATACCACTAAACAGGTGAAACAACAAGATAACACAGTTAGAACTCTTCACTTTAGTAAGCATGGCTCAAAAAAGGGACTTTTCATCAGTTCCTGGGGAACCTACTCCACAGAGTACTGGATCTCACTGCCCACATCTTCCTACATACATTAAGGACAGAAAGACAGTTAATTCACCTAGAATAACCTACAAATCAGTTATGGAGTCATATCCAGTTACCCCTGCATTGAATCTAACAGCTTGTGTTTAAAAAAAGTTTTTAAATCTACATGGCTCACACAATCGAGTAAATAAAACACACTCTAGGACCTAAGTATGATGGACACTGTTCTTTAGAGAACCCAAGTTTGATTTCTTTTACTCTTACTACCTTTCCTCAAGGAATTTCAGGGGTTATTTGTTGCTGAATTTAGCCTTAATTGAGTACTCCCAAGTTGCTTAACAACCAGGCTCTTATGGTAGGGATATAGGGTCCAGAGGCAGGAAAAAAAGTAATCTTTTGCAATGGTCTGACCCTTATCACTTCAGTGGGTAACTTCTTCAAGGGGAAAGGGGTTGGAGGATCACCATGTGCCTACTCTGCCACCGAATCTTTTCCTGCTAAGCTCAGAGTTGCATTTAGCTCACTAGAGAGAAAAAGGCCTTTTTTTTAACTGTGATGCTGGACGAGGTTATGGAAGAGGAAAAAAACCCACATCTCCAATTGGCAAACCAAGAAAGCTAATTAGCAGCACAAGTGATAAATGGAGTCTTTCGACAGGCATTTTTCATGGTAGTTTTGGACTTCATTAAAGTATGTGATTGCTGCTGCAGTTAGCAAGAATTGATCCACCCATCACAGCATGCATCGCACTATACTTCAATCCCATCACTGAGTTTCAATACCGTAACAGACTTTCAGCTGAATGCATTTGGGCAGCAAGTTCAAATCCTATTCCTGTCTGCAGTCAGTCGATGAAAACTGCAATTGCTAATGTTTTGTGCCCGGTTCTCTTTTCTGTTACACCAAATCAAACTGGCATAATTCCACTGGAGTCAATGGGACTGACCATGGACTGGAGTTAATTTGCTCTAGTGAAAGCCATGGAATTATACTGATACAGTCAAGCTAAAGATCTCACCCAGAACTGTCGTAGCTACATAGAATTGGTATGACTGTATCTGCTAAAAACTTAGCCGCATCTCCTAAAAACTTAGCTGCACCTCCTTACAAACCAAGATTGATTCTATAGAAAATGACAATAGTTTCCCATAGCAAAGAATACACTTCTAATAGAGGAGGGTTAAAAAAAGAAGGGAAGCATTAAGACAGAGAAGAAGGAGATAAATCAGGCTGGGGCTATTAAACTTCTGTTTTAAAGAAACACAACCTTCAATGATAATTTAACTAAATCTTTCTCAGAGAGCAAGTCTGCATATAAATCTGGAAGAAGAAAGCTCTGAAAATGTGCAGGGGTTTGTTATAAATATGTCAAGTGTTCCCCATCCTCTCTGGATCGCCTAATAAAAAGCAGTTCCACTAATTTGGGCCTTGGGTACCACTAAGTAGCTCACTGAACTATAAACACCTTTTCTGCTGCTGTCTGTCAAGTTTATTCTGTAGGCAGTAACTCACAGTACAAGGCAAAACATAAACTATTTCAACTTTGGCCAAGGTGTCTTTTTTTTCCCCCCTTTTCCTCCTTCTTAGACTTTAATTTTCTTAATTGCCGGTACGTTGTTTTGTGAATTTAATCCAGTCTGTGTTTCAGGTCAAGACAGTCTCTTTCTCCAAGGTGTAGTTTGTTGACACAAATCTTTACCACACATAAAACATATTTTCTGTCTCATACTCAAAATCATGGATGCAGTCACTATGGAAATGTATTCAATCAGTTTTTCTACCTGAGCTCCTTCACATTAGCCGCACTCTTGCCAAGTATTCCCTTCTCACACTGACGTTTTTTCAACTGCAGCTTGAGAAGTCGGATATCTTCCATTCTCTGTCGGTACTGGACTTCCCCTTTGTTTAAGATGGACTGCTGGATTTTTATCTTTTCATAGAGCAGAGCCACTTCATCATTGCGCCGAATAAGCTGGGACCCTAGGATACGTCTCTCGTTGACAACCTAAGGACGTAGGGCAGAGCAATAATTTCAGTTACAGTTCCTCAGTACAGTCCCAAAGTATCATGACTACATTTGCATCAGTCAAAATCATGTGCATTAAGAGGTTTCACTGTTATTAGTGAAAGAAATATGGCAAGGGCCTAATAGTTTCCCTTATAAGGGTTCAGTCACCTGAATAGTATAAACTACATATTCTGTTCACTTCAATATATTAACATTTTTATTTCAATGGCGCTATAAAGCTTTAGTAGTACCACATTTACAGTAGCTGAGGATTTTGATCTTAAAAACACGCTGGATGAATGAGGGAACAGAATGCAATATGTTTGAAAAGCCCAATTAGAGATTCCTACCTGGTCAAATTCCTTCTTCTGCTTCAGTCTCTCAGCATCAGCTTCAGCAATGATTTGTAGGAGTTTTCGCCCTTCTGCCTCCTGACTTTCTATAAACTGTTTGGTTTCCAAAGCCTGTTTTTCCATCTTAAGCAGTTCATTCTGATGGAGTTAAAGAATATAAGTAAACCGTGGTTAGTAACAACTTCTCATTACATAAATCTGAGATTAAGAGCTAGTATTTGATTCTTTTAGTTTCCTGAGAGGTACATATTTTGTTAGTGTTTGAGAAAAATCACTAAGACAAGCAAGTATGAAGACTCATAAAGAAACACTGTAAACAGTATTTTAATATAATTGTGTTATACAGAACAGGAATTTGAACAGACTTTTATCCATGATGACAGTTCAAGTTGTAATTCAGGGACACCTCATTTAATAAAAAATTTTAAAAAATTAAATAGGCCATATTTGGAAAGGTTTTCAATGCAGTTGTTACTCAAAGTCCAAAGTCAGTCTGGGACATGAGAAAGGATATTTCACCTTGCTGGAAAGGGCAACAATCTATGCTATGCAATACAAATCAGCATCAACTCAGGACAGGCTTCACACTGGAATAACAGAATTGGTGGAGAAGGTGGCAACCAGGCATGGAACAGCAAAATTAAAGAGCTTTAGCACTTTAGTGGATGTCTAGATGATGAAGACTGGGAAAAGAGGGGTTGTCCCTGAACACAGGAGAAGTAGTGCACTGTTACAGTGATTGCACACCGCTAACGTAAACTAAGACTGGAATGTGCTCAATAATTCTAGCTCACTGTCATGAACTCTATAATTCAAGGCATGTATGTAGATAGAAACTAATAAGGTCTTCTTGGATTATTAGAAATTTCTATCATTGCTAGGCAATTAGTCAGAGCCAAGATGGAACTAGCTGACTACAGTCCATTTTCACAGGTACAAAAACTTTCAAGCCTTGACTCAAAGACCTTGCCACAACTCTGACCCTTATAAAGGATGATGTTCAAGCTGCCTTTTGGGAAAGAGCATCATCCAATGCTGAAAGAATGAGGCTATGATGAAGGCTGCACCTGCAAAGACATTGATTTAAGACAGAAACAGTTCCATCATCATAATAAAATAGCTTGTTCCATTCTTACTTTCTTTAATAAAATTCTCATTTTCCCATATGTGCAACAGTCATATCTCTCTTACTCAGTGTTAGATGTTCATCAGAATCCATCAGCCGAATAAAAATGCAAGCCACTTCATATTGAAATGCCATCAACACTGTGCAAAAGTTGTCTACAAACATAAAACTGCTCATGTGTTTGGCATTGCTGGATAATATTTTTTTAATCTATCAAAATTCTGTTTTCCTTATGTCAGAAAAAATACGAGTTGTAAACAAGAAGTGGCATTAGATGTTGGCAGCAAACATTCATATAAACAAATCTCACTGGAATGCAGTAAGTTAAAATAAATCTGAACTGCCTTGTATAGTAAAGAACATAAAGACTTCAAGCCACACAAAGGCCTCACAAGCTAACAGGACTCTCAATTACATTAAATACGCTAAAAACTACAGTATGAGGGTATGTGTACATTAGGTAAGAGAAAAGGAAATTAATAAAGACAGTTACTGTGCAAGCAGAAAAATGGTCATCTGTGAAACTGCTGTAAATCAGCACAGCTCATTTGAAGTTGGTTCAGAGTTTGTAAGAAGAACAGTCAGCAAGAAAGAAGAATTTATATGGGACCTATGCCAATATCTCAAAACAAATTCTTGTTTAGATTCTGAATTAGCATAAGTGAACAGGGTTTTTTGTTTGTTCTAGAGGTGAGAGGAAAATATTAATTTTATAAAAGGTATAACTGGGGCTGGACACATAATGCTGAAATCAAAGTCAGAGGTTTTACATCCAGATTTCCAGAAAATGTTAAGAAAAGAAAAAAGGAAAAGAAAAAAAGACATGCATGAACATCTACAAAAGTATAAAAAAGTACTTGAACTTGACAGTAGCTAAAACCTGGAGTGCCATAGTTCTTAAAGCTTTCAGGTACATATTTTTCAACATTTGGATGCTTTGTCAAACCAGTCTGATTCTGAAGCCTGTATGAAGGCCAACTGAAACCAAGAGATGGCATTGTACTGGCTTTAATGGAGTTTGGATCAGGCGTCCTCTGTTTCATTTACCATGATTACACATTGTTAAGATCTTTATGCCAGCTGAGGCAAGCATAAATCCAATGTCTGTATAATCTCATTCCTATGAATCCCAGTCCTCCATGATTTAGCGCATTCTTTAAACTGATTTCCCAGGAACAGCTTGCTTGCTTCCTTCACACCAGCACAAACAGGACAAATTGAAGCCAGCTTGCTACTCAGATAATTGGCTTCTTTTGTGTCTGTGTCAATCATCTCCCTCTTTGAATTCTCTTCTGCTTTAGTATTCAGCAGAGACACCAAGGTAGAAGACCACAATGCCCTGAAGCTAGTCAGTAAAGTGATGTCAGTGTATGGACATACTTGCTAGTGAATAATTGAGTGGGTAAACCATGTAGCAATCGTATGTTTGTCAAATGGATGGCAGACAGTTATGAGGTGATGAGACAGAATTGGGAACTAGTTAAGGCAGAAAGCTGCACACAGGAAATGAGACGCTGATTGACTTCTCCATCACTGACAGAACAACTGAGACAGATCAGGTACAAGAACACAAATTCATCACCTTTCTACAAAGCTCTACTGACATCTTGTCATAACTGTAATATGCTGAGAGGGGCTGGAAACTCAAGGAGTCATTGCAGCATAGCAACAAACTGACAAAAGAAAACATTGTGGAAAGTGGCAGGGGACTTCTGTTTTTGGGGGGTGTTGATTGTTTCCTGGTTTTGTTTTTTTTTTTCCCCAGTGCTTAGTGAAGCTGCTGTGGACACTCTTTAAATCTTTTGAGAGCTTAGCAAATTGGGTTGAGATATCACCATAAATCTAATAGCTTATCTAAGGATGGGCTTCAACCAGTGCTGAGAAGAAGAATCACAGCTTCAAGCACATATTTCCTTTGATTTAAAACAGATTCTTGCTGCTTTATATCACAATATTAAAATAACTTCCTGGGCAGAGAGACCTACTAAAAGGCACTGCCTAACTCCCAGAAGACTAATGTTTGCTAGTCACACAGAAATACAAGATTGTGAAGTGCAATATAATGGGGTTTGCACTTAAAAACAGCAGAGAGAAAAAAGTTTTTAAGAAGAAAAACTTGAATTATAAGGGTCTACATTAAAAAGGTTGCTAGAATCAGTCTATTCCCAAAATCCACATTTCTGCAAGCAAAATGGAACTTTTTAGTAAAAATGTTCAATCACCAAGAGATTTAAAGCTTCCAACAGACAATTCAGGACCTTTCTGATCATATTTATAGGCAGATATTAAATTTGTCAGATACATGGAAGATTTCTGTAACTAATATCTCTAAAGGGTACTGATCTTCAACTACAGAACAGTTTATTAAAATAGAGCAAACAACTACCGCAGACCAGGAACATAATGCAGTCTGTGAAATCATGGAAACCATCCTTTGTAAGAAGGTGTATATGTAAAGGCTCTTACTTTCAAAGATTTCTTCTCCTTCTCTGTTTTCTGATGTTCTACATGTGCTTTCACAAGCGCTGCTTCTTTCTCTGCGATCTCCTCTTTCAGCTGATCCACCTGATGTGTCACAGTCGTCAGTTTCGTCTTCATTTCTGCTATCCCATCCTAATAAGACAGGAAGTGTGGTCACAGAGAAGGATCAAAAAAGAGCAAGTTTGTGGCTGGGAGTTCAAGCTATTTTGATGTTGGAAAATGTAGCCACAGTGCTTGAGAGCAGATTGTTGTATGTACCACAAGACATTACTTTTTAATCCAACAGAACAAAACAGTTTCATTAAACAATAATTCTTGTTTATGCCAGCATGACGTTGCAGTAAAAAAGCCTTTAAAAGATATGTTGACAAAGATAATGACCATCAATTATGAGTATAATAAGCCATTTAATGTAAAATGCTGGAGACATAATAAGAACTAGCAGTCAATCCAAACGAATAAGATTCTGATCCTATTCATCTGTTTTCATGCTTCTAGTAATGTGTTTTTCAGCAAGGTTGTATGCAGCTGACCACAAATATTTGGAGAGAAGCTGGTTTTGTGCAAATGAACACACCCATAAGGAAGATACGTAAATGCCTCCAAGGGAGTATATAAATGCTAGTTTTCATTTTACCTATATGCTGGCTTGCACACAGGTGCAAGGGGGAAAAGAATGTGCTCAGAGATTGAGAAGTGAGAATATTTTGCATATATTTTAAGCCCAAAACTCAGAGCAAAAAGCCTGGTGGCACTGCAGAGAGATGAGGTCACTGGGAATACTTCCACTCAGCACAGAGGTGCCTGCCTGTACAAAATTAAGAAACTGTTTCAACTCATGGCAGTGACAGCACATGTTGTGACACGAAATGGAAGCTAATAAATGCAATACTTAGCCAGACATGTTCTTCTGGATCTAATGAAAGTAGCTTTAGAAGCTATTACCCCTCTGCCAGAGGCTGCCACCTCACAGAGAAGACATCATAACCTTTCATGTGAATACACGCTGCTTCAGTACAAAAACTAGAGTAGCTTAGAGCTCTTTCAGCACTGTTCACCATAGGTGTGGTTTTACTTGGCAAATGAGTGATGGTTTCTGACATTAAATGCTTAACATAGTTAAGTGAGACCTTGAGTCATGGCAGTCTTCACAAACAGTACAGAGAAAGTACCAATTAGAAGTCTGACATCCCTCAAAAATGAAGTCCATGGATCCCACACTTTGGGCAAATTAAATGAACCAAAAATATGCAGCAATATGCCATTAGACCCACTTGTTTGCATGTTCAGTCACTCCTGTAAATTCAAAAGTCATATTAAAAGCTATCTTTGCTAAATAGCCTATAAATCTCTTAAATACTGTAAAATATGGTGCCCAGACATGAACTGGAATACATTCCTAATTCTGGAATTAATGAAGAACAGTACAGAACCCACAATTTTTGCAAACAGGTCTCCTAATAAACATGCTTAAACAAATGAGCTCCTAACACCAGAATAAAAGCCAAGGATGAAAGCTTCAGATATTTATCTCATATTAACAGCCTGCTAGCATGTCTCTTCCAAGAAATTTTACTGAGCTGAGCATTATGGTACTCTGGAGACCACTAGTAAGGTGGCCAACAGGGGATCTTTCCACATTAAGCAATCCAAAAATACTTACACCTAGCTTTATCTTAACAAGCTTGTGCACATTTGTTTTACTTCCCAAAAGGAAAAAGAATTTACTATAATTTTTAACACAATGCTATTTTTTTTTCTTCTTTCATGGCTGGCTGACCTGTTACTGAGCAGAGAATGGCTATTTTTTTTTCACTGCTACACATTAATATTGCCTTGGACAAAAGATCTTTTGAGGTCAGCTATCTTGTCACACAGGATTTGCTAAAAAAGTTTTATCGTAGGCCAAGTAAGTTATTAAAGTCTACACACCAGCCTCTAACAACTGGAACCATGAACAGCATTGTGTATACCACCATATAACATTCAAAACCTGAAAAGGCTGACGAGTTTGTTGCTTCATTTTGTAACTCAGCACACAGATGTCATTTCTTTATAAGTAAGCAAGTTTATGTTGTATATTTATCATTTTTCACCCTTATTTCTTCTGAGAGATTGCTTAGGAGCAGCAGGAATCCCAACACCATGTCCACTGATGAGAGGCAGACAAAGGTCAAGTAAAGCGTCCCATGTAAATGGCAAAATGGTTCATTCCTAATCAAATTCAGCACACAGATGGATAGGAACTTGGACAGTTCATTCCCATCTGCTTCTCAAGCGAAACAGCTACTTATTCAAACCGGAGTATAAATTTGTAATCTACTATACATGTTTATGTTATAAATCCTTATTCTGAAATAACCCAAGGCTGTAAGTCACAGCTATCCAAGGTCCCGATCTCTGCCAATTGCAATAGGATTTGTGTAGCATTTTAGATCTTTACATCAGAATAACAGAATACATCCTTAAGTGATCGTTCTCTTCCTCTAGTAGTTAGTGAGATCCCCAAGGAAGAGATATGAATGGAGAGAATTATTATCTGAGGAAAATGACACTCCCTGAAAGGAACAAGCAAGGTGGAAGCATTAAGTTCTGTTAGAAAACTCCACTTCAGCTGGGAAAGTGTTCCCTCTGCTTTCTAAATCATGATTCACGGTAATGTGCATACACATTCAGGGCTAAGAAGGCAGTCTCACTCCCCTTACACCCTGTTTCCCATACATGCAGACAACTCCTGAAGGGATAAAACCAGACTGGAGACAGGATGAAAAGGAAAAAGTTTCTTCTCTTAGAGAGTTTTATGATTCTGTAGCTCAGTGTGCCACGATTTTACACGTGGTTTGAAGAAAGGATATTGCCACACGATGATTGTGCTACTTCCAGTCCAAACATAAACTGCCGAGATAAAACGTCAGGGACCTAAAACATTTGTTTCCCCAAAACACATAGGAATGAAGAAACCCTTTTGCCATTTATCCAGTGAACTTTCATTTTAACAAATTAAAATTAGACCAGGAAATAAACAACAAAAGCAGAGAGAAACACAAGGAAAAGCGTATCCTTCTACCTTAGCTTCAATCAGATTTTTACAGTACAGGTTGTTCTCTACTCTCAGAGCTTCACAGCAGTTTTGTTGCTCTTTTAATTTACTCGCAGACTCTTCTACTTTCTTCTTATAGTCACAAATCTCTTTTTCCTGTATTTCAATATCTTTCAGGTGCTGGAGGACCTGGAGCAGAAAGAAGGAAGTGAACGTGACTAAACCACCATCACAAGATTATAAGGATGGGGCAGAGCTTGTGATTTTCTTCTAAGATTACAAGGTCAAATCCCTGTGACAAGAATTTTTAGCTACAGCTAAAAATCACTTCAGTCCAAGTTTAACCTTTCTGGATTGTTTATGTGGGACAATGTTTTATTTCAATCTGATACCTAGGGTTTGTTCAAGACTAAAACTTACAGATGTGCACATATTTAATTTAAAAACAAGCTACTGAAAATATTGCCACTGAGCAGGTTCAATAAAATCAACATAAACAGCTTTCATCAAGAAGAGCCTTAGGTTATTCACAGAGCAAAGCTAGACTTTGTATGTTGTTTTGGATGTCATCTGTATAAGATGAATAAAAACCTATACATTTTTCTAAGAAGCCCTGCATGTACTCCTATATCCTAACAACCCAACTTTTTTTAATGAACACACTATTGATGATCACAAACTGTCGATATATAATTACAAGAATAAGAAAGTCAGATAATGTAGCTTATACTTCATCTAAATAAGCAGGTAATCATATTAGTTCCTTGTATGAAGGATTAGAAATAATGATGTGAAGATTACCTAAAGAAAGTGGAGTACTGTAGACGGTAGAAAGAAGATGATCACACGCAGTATCAATAAACAAAAATACAAAATTTTGCAGACACCCTTATTAAACAGTTATGACAATAACAATACATGAGAAGTATTATGTTAAAGGAGTAAAAATAGCAATAGGTGCTAATCATTATGATGGGCTTCCTAATTATTTTGTTAAAACATAAGAAACTTCCTCCTGCTGTACAAAGTTGAAAACCAAGAAGCACAAAAAAGCAGCATTCAAACAGAATCCAGCATTACAAAGAAAGAAGATTAAAATAAATAAAAATAAGGAGTACACACATCAAGAACATAATTTTTCAGGTTCACTGCCCAGGGGGGAAAAAATGACACTCTTAAAGCTGGGAAAAAGATCAAGCAATAAAGAAAAAGCTGAGGAATCACATGGACAAAATCCAGGAGCGAATTCGATTTACAACTGCATTTCATACACAGTTCTCCTGACTTGGTTTTTGAAGGTAGCAGTTTGCGCTAAGATTTATGTTCATGTCAAAGCAGAATAATAATAATAAAAAATGTTTACATCAAATAGTCAATAACTGCAAAGTTTGCAGTCAACAACATTGTCCCTTGTTTAGCAGTAAAGCCTTGTGAGGCCTAACTGTGGGGCAGGAGCTTAATTAATTGATCATTCTACCAGGTACCTCCAAATAACTTTGAAGATAGGGGATAGCTAAATATAGAAAGTTTCATTACAGCATATTTGTAGCTGACTGCAGAGGATCCCAGGAACTGCTTACAGTGCAATACAACAACACAGTCCCAGTTTATAACCTACTCCTGCCTTTTCCTTTTCTGTTAAAACAACCTGCCAATAGTAATAGCAGGGACAAGAAATCAATACGGCATGTTTTCTATCCGCACTATGGTGATCATAGGCTGGAGCAAGATTTGAAAGTAGGTCACTGCATTTGTAAGTCTTTTACTTGGTTTTGATACAATATAAGTGCAATAAGCTTCTGGACTGAGTTGTACTCACAGGCTGGATGCTGACTCTGCTTTTTCAGGAACGATTCAACCCAAATAATTCTCCCTTATAAATACAGAAAAGATATATGCAATGTTTCCCAACCAAGCCCTGTGGGAGGCTGAGCATCCTCAATTCTGATTTAGTTGATAGCACACTACACCTCTCAGATTTGGCAATGAGGGGCCAAAGCTAAGCAGAAAGTATTAGATATTCATAGTTTTCTCTGTACCCTGACCATTTTTTTTATCTGTACACTTAACTGTCATCTACTGCTGGTTACCTGTTTAGTTCAGTGAACCTACTCAGGATCCCAGTAATGGCACCATCCTTATTTGCTTACCTTTATCTAGCCACCCTGAGAAGTGCTGCCATGGTCTTAATGATATGCCTGTTGAGCATTAGGTTTTCCAAAAGATTATGCGAATTTAAAAAAAGAAATACCTTTTTTTTTTTTTTTTTAAATTTTCCTGGATATGTTGTTAAACTAAACTTAACATTGTAAATGGCTTTTTTTAAAAAAACCAACACATTAGAGACTGTTGTTGTGACCTCTCATAAGGCACAGTCAGGGAATACTTCAGGTGAGATTGAAGGGTGTACTACTTCACTGCTGCTTTTTCAGCAGCCTAAACCTTCCACAGGGAAACTAAGATTTCATAATCTAAGAATTTCAATTCAAAAAAATAAATATTCTACTAACATTTGGAGCTCAGTAATACAGGCTACACAACAAAGAGCAAAGAGCCAGACTTTTTTCTCAGTTGTGCTGCCTAATCAGGAAGTAAGACTATTCAACAAGTGACACTGGCTTAAAAATGGTACAAATGAGCAGTCAGCCAGGACAGTAATTAGAAGAGCAAGTCTAGCATGAATTCTCACCACTAAAATCTTTACTGTTGTGGATATAACTTTGCTGACTCTGTTCATCGGTTACTCAGTAGTAAATGACGACTTTGAAAGAGGAATTCTGTAGCTCTATAGATTCTGTCCTGCTGTAAATAACCAGACAGCTTTCAGAGCCATCATGGCTCACTCTGCCTTGCAGGAGTTCCAAGAATTCTTTGGACTTAGATGGGTTTGGCTCTTTACCAGCTCTTACACAATTTAGAAGGTGTGCAGCAAGCTCCTTCAGAGCCAGCTTGATGGTAAAAGGTGGCAGAAGAGCATTGACTGGCCATATGATTACCACCCATCAGTAGCTCATTCCCCACCACTTGTGAAATGGCTCCTGTAGTTTTACCACAGTTTCTCAAATCTGCATAGGTCAAACAGTGAACCTAAATATTACCTAGTGGATATAATAATCCTGATCCTATGTTCTCCTTCTACCCTGTGTTTTGCCCTGTCTTATCCTTCCAAACAATGAGTGATTTCATGTAGGGAGACTCTGCAAGGACTAGACTATTGTCACCCATACTCCTGTGCTCAGAACTGCTCCTGCTGCTCTTCACCTTCAAGTTGAGTCAGGAATTGCGCCTTTAGCGAACCACAGAGGCATGCAAGTCCTTTGGAAACTTGCAATCACAATGCAGGTAACATTATATGAACAGCTCAAGTGTCATAAACCATTTACTGAGACTGAGGCTCCGCTCATAAGAAGTGACAGAAAATTTGCACCCAAAGTGGCGGGCGGGGGGGG